CCTTCTTTGGTGAAGTAATACTGATTTCTTACATGGCAGAGCTAGAAAGAACTCGGAGGCTAGCAAAGCACAGTTTCTTCCTGGCAGAGAGGAATGAATTGTTTACTGCTGTTATTCACTTAGAGTTGCCAACAAACCATATTAAAAGTTTAAGAAGAGAAAAACTCTCTTGCCTGGTGAGTGGAACCACCTTGAACCATCGGTACTGCTGTTCCATGGGCCAGGTGTGAGGACCCGGGGGCTGAGCCAGAAAATCTGGCCCGGACTTGGTGCCAACAGAGAGAAAGAGATCACACTGTATGATCATCATCATCGGCCCTGAGTGTGGCACAAAACTTGTCTCAAAGAGTTTGTGGTTGCTCACATCCTATCAAAGGGGAGTTATCTAGGGAAATTATATCCCCTATTTCCTCAATTCCAAGTAGATAGGGTTTAATGGCAAGCTTTCATCATCTGCCCATGAAATGGAGATGTCATGTATTACTAAAGAGAAAAGTTAAAGGACTACAAGGGAAAAAGGAGGCCCAAGGGTCACAAGAAAGGAAGGAGGCCAAACGGGAAGTTCAAGTTGTTACAGGAGGCTAATTAGAGGCCCCGCAGTTCAAGGAGGAGGCGACAGGTCAAGGAACCACCGAGGTCCTCCCAGGCTCTGTCTCCCTCTGCCAAGAGTTTGGCAGGGGACATTGGCCGTCTCTTTCCTCTTCCGGTGCTCTGTAAAATGGAAAGGGTAAAATACATAGTCCTGAAATAATTTCCAGAGTCCTATTTATTTGTTACTTTTTGATTCAAAGCCACAGCCAGATCCCTGGGCAGAGCTGAGGCTGTGCTTTAATACCCCTTTCCGTCCCTAGCTGACAAAGGTCCCGGGCAGGAGTGACAGGCTGAGTCACAGATGGTAAAATTCAAAGGTGCTCTCTTTATTTAGGTAACTAGCTGGGTGCTGTGGATTCCTGGTGACTCCTGACTGCCTCCCTTCTTCTTTCTCTGGATCCTAAAACTTGTGGGATTAAAACCAATAATGAAAGACCTTGAGTGCGTATACGTGCTTTTTGAAGATTATAAAATGCTTTTACATACTTCCTTTCATGTAAGACTCATAACAAACCTGAGTGGTGTTATTCTTCTCAAATTACCAACAAGGAAACTAAGTCTTCTGAGAGCCTAAGTGATTTGCCCAAGGTCATTTGCCGAGCCAGTGCACTGCTCCAAGCTCTGCTCGCCATCCCAAGGCCTGGGCGCTGTAGGCTCCCTTCCCCCATTGCTTCAAGGAGGGTTTGTCTAGTGGGGACCAATGATAGGAGACAAGGAGAGGAGGGGAGAAGCTGGCATTTACCCTCTTTTTTTCAGCCTCTGGTGGCGTTTCTGCGGTGGTTTCATGTCCTGGGCATCTCCATATCCTGCCAGCCATCCTGGCTTCCCAAATCTGATAGCACCACCTTGGCTTGGGTTCTTCCAGGCTCAGGAGGAGGAGTAACCTTCTGCTGCTCTCATGGTGTCCCATCTTCTGTTTAACTTCTCAGCCTTTCTATTATCCATACAACCATATCCCTATAACAGCAGCCCTCTCACCCACACCCATCAGTGATACGTTCCAAGGCCACGTGAAAGTGGATGTCAGAAGCCATAACTGATAACAGAGACTGCTACTGAATAACAAGGGGAGAGTGCGGTATACAGTGTGGATACACTGGACAAGGGTGACTCACGGGGCTGGGTGGGCTAGAGAGGGCTGGGGGGAGATTTCATCATGCTGCTCAGAGTGATGTGCAATCTAAAACATACACATTATTTCTTTCTGGAATTTTTCATTTAATTGTTTTGTCCCTTCTTTCCTCCCTCCAACCCATCCCCTTTCTCATTTGAACATTTTCTTCAGGTTTCCTAAAGGGATAAAGAGAGAGGCAGCGGGGAGAAAGGGAAACAAAGCTTTTGTAAACAAAGAGGAAAGACAGGCTGAAGGGAAGAAAATAGGGGAAAAAAAGAAGCAAGATCTACCATGCTCAGGTACAGTTTCTTTATCATGAATATTATCACTGTGTATATCTAAAATGCAACGATAAAAGAAAAAGAAAATAGTTTCTGATTCTTCTGACCACCGAAAACAAAAATGAAAGAAACTGAAACTGATGATAAAGTGAAAATTGTGTATTGAATTTCTTGTATTGAAAGACCTAAGGCTGTTGTTATTTTCCTGGTTGAATTCTGCCTGGACAATCATTGCTATAAGGGTCACAAGTACGACAGGAACAGACCCTGAGAGTTTAGCAGATGGGTCCAGGTGTATGAACACGCATTTGGCTACTGCATAGGGAGGGCCTCTTTGTCTGGAACTGAACTTACACATCTTTGGAGCTTGAAGCTCAAAAGCACAGAGTCTGACATATAGCAGCCACCAGTAAATATTCGCTGATCTGCTAAGTTCATATGGCAAAACGAACCCAATCAAAGTGACTGTTTAGTTCATCTCTGCACCTCTAAGTATCTGTTACACTCAGACATAAGAAATACAGGTCTTTCCAGGCTATGACTTGTATCAGTGAGCCATTTTGCTGCATAATGTAATGCCACCCATGGGAACTGGCATCATTCCTGATTTCTATAGGAATCCTGGGCTTTGAATCTTCAAAGCTATTTTACATGACAAGGTATTAATTAGTTAAAACTTGGCCAATAGTACAACTGCCAGAAAAAACAAAGTGGTGAGAACTCAGTGAAAGACATGGGCAAACACATACAGAAGCGCTCTAAAATTATTTGCAGTTCTGGGTGCTGGTGGAGGAAGAGTTCAACAGCATTAGCCTCGGGAGGCCTGGTTGTGGCCACTGCTCTCCTACTGACCTCTGGGTGGTCACTTCCCTTTGGTCCTCAGTTTCCTCACTGGCAAAACAAGGAAGTAAGGCTTCTTGAGAACCAAGCCTAATTTTATTGTCACATCAAGTAAGGTCTCACCTAATCTGGCCCCAACTTACCTTCCCAGCCTTCTGCCCAGGGCACCTGCTCAGCCAGCTGCCCGCCAGCTGGGCCTTGGCCATCTTACTTCCTCTGTTCCTTTTTTCTGCTTTCTTTATACCAGTATGTGACACTGCTTATTTCTCCTCTCATGTGCATTATTTCAGATTCCTCCTCCTTCGAGGATGAAAATACAAGATCTCTTATCATCAGGAGTAGCGCGGAGCCCTGATTAAGACAGTAGTCTGGAGCCAGTATGATGGCCTTCAACCCTGGGCCAGCAATCCATTAGCCAGGTGAGAGGGGCACATTATTTACTGCCTCAGTTTCCGCATTTACAAAGTTGCCGCACTAATGTTTACACTAAATTTCATAAGTGGAAATACCTGGCTGATTTCCATTTCCCTGGGGGGGAGGGCACAAAAGGAATTACTGGCTGGTGAATAAATGTTATTGGAACCATAAACATAACAGGAATCAACAGACACAGCACTGTGCATGTGTGTGTGTGTGTGTGTGTGTGTGTGTGTGTGTGTGTGTGTGTGCATGTATTTTCCTATTAAGCAGTGAGAGTTTTTCCACGATGATCTAACCTTATGTATTTTTGTCTCTGCAGATTCTAGTGAAGTGATTGACATGGCAGGCATTAGTAAATGCTATCTGACATTTAATCCTGGCAGGAATTAAATTAGGTAATGCACTCTGTGCCTATACATGACACGGAGATTCTCAGTGTGCAACTATTATAATTATTAAATATTATCTGTGTCCCACAAGACTTTGTACTTTGTTATTATTATTTTTTGGTACCAGGAATAAAATTCAGAACCACGCACTTGCCAGGCAGGCACTGTGGTGCTGAGCTATAGACCCAGCTGTGCTTCACTGTTAAAGCAGTGGTTATATTGTCTTACTGTTACTATATTTTAGTATCCTCTATTAAACCACGAATGTGTAAAAGATAATGTGCCATTTTATGGACTGGATTGTGTTCCTTCAGAATTCACATTTTCAAGCCACAATTCCCAGTATCTCAGAATGTGACTGTAGTTAGTGACAGAACTTTAAAAAAGTGAGTAAATTAAAATGAAATTGTGAGGTACTGATCCTTAATATTAACTGATTGGTGACCTTATGAAAAGAGAGGGTGAGGACATTCAGAGACACAGAGAAAGTCCCTGTAAAGGTTGGCCAACTGTAAGTGTTGGAGAGAGGCTCATGTCAGAGGAAACCAACCCCACAGACATATAGACTTTAAATTCTAGTGAGAGCTGGGTGTGGTGGCCCACTCCTACAATTCCAGCACTTAGAAGGCTGAGGCAGGAGGGTTGTCATGAGTTCAAGGCCAGCTTGGGCTACAAAGTGAATTCAAGGCCAATTTGGAGTGCAGAGCAACACCCTGTTTTAAAAAACAAAATTCTAATGAGAAAACTAGCTCTTTCTTGTTCACACTACCCAGGTTGTGATATTATGTTATGGCAATGCTAGCAAACCAATGCAGGAACTATGTTTTCATTTATTCATTCAACAAATAGCAATGGGGCATGACCCTGGTTTGTTTAACAGGACACAGAGGGCTGAGAAAGGAAAGAAAGAAAAGAGGCTTCAGCTTGCAGCACGCTTGTAGTTCAGTGGGAGAGACTGAAATCAGAAGATGGCCCGGCCAAGAGAGTAAGAGCCAGAAGTGAATCAGAGGGTGCACAGAGCAAGGGAGAGGGGCTGGGGGGCTGATAGAAAAGGAGGCTCAGGTGGGCGCACTGGTTTAGCCCCAGCACCATCACAACACTCTGTCAGCATTGGCTATCTTTTATCGAAAGTCACCATCTCTCAGTTCTGCCTGTAAAACAATGCGACTCTGTAACATTCAAGTAAGGAGCGTCCAGGAGCAGACTTTGCTGGGCGTCGCTCATTCTAGGGCCTGACACCAGCTGGGTCAGTAGAATAACTGATGGATGAGGAGGAAGAGGAAGTGGGTTGTCACCTCAAACCTGGGCCAAGCTCGCAGTGACCCTGCGCCACGCCCTTCCTGTCTGGACCTCCACTTCCTCATCTTCAGAAGCGAAGAGGTGCAATTTGTTCATCTCTCAGGTTCTTCCTCGCTCTGTGAAATCTTTCTGAAGCTTAGTTCTCAGTAACTAATACTGCGAGGAGGAAAGGAGGGCCGGAGGAAGGGAAGGAAGGGGAAGAAAGAGACAGAAAGAGGAACGTTCGCAGGAAAAGCAGGAAAGACAGAGGGATGAGCTAATACTGGCTTGGCTGATGGGGCTGGCTGTCTGCAGCCCCTGTGTGCAGTTCCCCTGAGGTCAGCGGCAGCCTCGGGCTTCAGCCCTCAAACCCAGGCTGCACGAACTTGGGCCAGTCGGTTAACCTCTTCTTGCCCCTTGATTTCATCTGCACAATGGGAGGTAGTCATACCACGTCACAGGGATGTGTGGGGTAAGTGAGATGATGGTTTAATCATTTCACCGCAGAACCAGGTAGTTTCATTTTGCTGGTGTTATTTTTAACACCAGTGAAACAGAGGCATTAGACAAACGGATCTCTAAGACTTCCAGTTTTTCTCTCTAGTCATACACTTGTAATAAAATCATAGGTGGATTGTGAACTTTAAAACCCAGAGACAGGTCTGGAGTCCTGGCATGGAAAAAGGGTGTCTGTGTGCACCCAGTATGTGGGGATGCCCAGAAGAAGATTTGAGGAGAAAAGGGGCGATTCTGGGCTTCTTTTTTCCTTATTGTTCATTTTTAGACTCTGCTCACTTGGGTATGGGTTTCACAAAATGGCTTTTTAAGTTTTTTGATTATTATTATTATTTTTAGTGCATGGAGAAAATTCTAAGAATGGAAAGATCCTGGAGAGTCAAGAAGAAGGCAGAGCTGCAGAAAGACGAGAAGGGAAAGGATAGTTGGATCTGAAAATGGGACGGAAAGGTGAGACATGGGCGTTTACCTCACTTCACAGAGGGGACTGGGCGGGCAGGGTCAAGTTATGGGAGCGCAGCAGGAGACTGGGAGAGGGCTGGGTAAAGAGGTGAGTTAAGACGCTGCTTGGTGGGGCTAAGACTCAAAGCTGAGGAGTACGAGCCCATCATGTAAGCTGTGGGAACCCCCGGAGGTTTCAGATCAGAAGAGTAATCTCTTTATTGTTCATTTTATATTAGAAAGATAGTTATGCTGTGAACAATCAGTCAATTCGAAGATGAGTAGTGAGGTGAGCAGTTATGGAAGTAGTGTGAGAATGGCTCTCATAACCATCAAGCTGCTAATTCACAGTGCACTGCGCAGCCCAAGCATACTTCCATCCATGTAAATCACCCAAAAGAGTGTTCTCCTGAACAGTGGTTGCCGTCACCGCCTGCAACCTGCCCATCACATCCTGTTTGTTTTATTGTAACTCATTTGCAATTGGGTAGCTGCTACATGGGAACCTATTTCATGACCCAGGCCCTCTGAGGAGTCTCGACCCTTCCTTTCATGTGTGAAAAGTGCTGATCTTTTTTTGTTTTAATTTTTGATGCTGGGGATCGAACTCATGACTGTGTGCTTGCAAGGCAGGTGCTTATGCCACTGAGCTAAATCCCCAGCCCCGAAAATGCTGATCTTGAGCAGTGGTTTCCAGAATGTGTTATCGACCCCTGAAGGACTACAGGAGAAACAGTTTACTAAAACAAAGGGTAAGCTTTGTCCAGCAACAGTACATAGCCAATGAGGTGTATCCAAGGTGCTATTATTACTAATTAAAATAAAGGATAAAAAAAGTTTTAAAAATTTGCATTCCTTCTCTTTTCGTCTTGTGATATGCTTACTTTGGGGGTATGCTTCACAATATATCTTATTATAGTGTAAATTGATGTCGGCATACCACATACACACATATCAGAGTTTTGATAGCAAAGTTTTACTGATAAGTATGCATCTTCTGAAAAGTCTGGCAGCTGCAGTGGGAGTAGCCCAAATACTCAAGCTTAATAATGAAATGACCAACTGTAATATTTTCTTAATGGATTTCTCTCAAATATTCTAATTCAAATCTCTGTCTTCTCACAGGACTATCTATAGTCTGAGACTCATTCTGCAGCAAAGTCGCAGTGCATGTGCGTGGAAATTACTCTGGTGTGACCTGCGTGTCACCTCCCTGAGTGTTGGTTCCTGCCTCAGCAAGGCGGGACCTTCTGGTGGCCTCAGTTTTTTTTTTTTTTTTTTTTTTTTTTAAGTTAGATAGTTTTTTTCATATTCATTTTCATTCATTAAGGTATTGGTATAAATTTGTGAACAGCTAGAAACTCTTTAACATTTTTATCTCTTAGTTAACTTGGACAGGAAAATGCTGGAGAATTGGGGCCCTCCGGGACCTGCCTCTGCACCCCTTTCCATCCATTTGTGAAATCATTTGTAGGTTTATCTTTTCACCAAGGGGCCCTAGAAACACAAACCCTAACTAACCACAACTCGTTGACATCATAACTAACACATCAAATAAGTTGCTTGCTACTGAAGTAGGCCACGGAAAGCCTACAGAGCTAAAGATCGGTCGGTTAACATTTCCTGGAACGTAGCAATGGCTCTTACCCATCTGCATACACACAGCTAGGAGCTCACAGTATCTTAAAAGTCAAGCCCTATCACATGGTCTGCACAGAGGACAAATCAGTTAGGGGAAAAATTTAAGTTCTCAGTGTTTAGCAATAGGCATGTGCTAAATTTTGGTATATTCTTCCCAAGTATTGTACAGAGCTTAAAAAAACCATGTTGCAACACATGAAAATACAAAATGTGAGGGAAAAATAGGATATAATCCATAATGTGACCTAACAAAAAGATCTGAGGGGAGGGTGGGAAGAATATTTTAAAATGCTAGAGAGGAAATATCTAGAAAAAGAAGCATGGGTGTCTTTATTCGCTTCTTTGTATGAGTGTGCATTTTCAAATGTCCCTTAATATGTGTACATAGGTGTTCAATATGTATTCAGTCATTCAGCAAACATTTGTCCTCCTCTCCCTCCCTTCTGCCTATCCTCCCTCCCTTTCTATTTTTCCTCTCTCCCTCCCTTTTTCTCTTTCTCTCTCTCCTCTTTCCCATCATTGTTGTCCTCTCCTCCTCCTTCTTCAATAATGGGGTTAAGCCCATAGTCTTCATACTGAGCTATATCCCAGCCCTTTTTATTTTCAGTTTTGAGAGAGCATGTTACTAACTCATCAGTTGCTTAGGCTTGGCTAGAACTCAGCAAATATTTCCTCTATGTCATCTACGAGTCCATCTGCTCTAGACACTGGAGGTAGAACCAAGTCTGGTTCTCTTGCAGTTTGCTCTCCAATCAATAGACAGATGATAAACCAGAATAACAACTACCCTGCAAGCCCGAGAATTCATCTGACTGTGGTGCCTCCTGTGAAGACAGCCAGCTGGGTCACGGGAGGGAGGGAGCAAGGGTGTCTTCCTGCCTTGCACAAGTATCTCCCCGAGGGTCCAGGAGGAGAGGGTCCCCTGGCTATGGGGAATGGAGGACATCACTCCCAGTACCTGGATCTCGAGTGGGCTTTGGCCTCTGTCTACATACAGTGGGCACAGAATGGTTTCACAAGGAGATTGGTAAGTCACTGCCCCCCAGAGAGATGACTCCTGCTACAAAGTGGGCCGAGCTTCTGGAAGCGGAGGCAGAGAGGAAGTAGGGAGATCTATTAGAAAAACCATGTTTTTCTTTGTAATTTGCCAATTCTGATTTTCTCCAACTATAATGCGGGTGGGTGACTTCCAGGGTACTTCCGGTACTGAAAAATAAGTGTGTAGCTTTTTGTGCACTTGTTACTTTTCCTGTCAGTGCTTGTCAAACACATCACAAACCTTACTCTTAATTCTCAGCACACTACTGCGGGTCTTCCTAAGAATCCTGGTAGATCAGTATGCCACACACTGGCATGCGTTGGCTTGTGTTAGCTGCACTCAGGACGAGTGTGTTTGGAGCATTAATTCCAGAGTGAGTTTTCTCCAGGCTTCTCTATGAACTTGCTTGTTGAAGATTTTACCCTGTATGCAGTAGGAAGTCGTTGAGGGCTCTTTGAGCAAAGGCTGACTTATTTTTTGGGAATTTCACTCAAGCAGTGTTAAGGAGTTCTGGAGAGGACCAGGAAAAGAGACAGAGACAAGCTGATTTTTAGAAAACCCTTCTGAGCCATGATCTTTGAGAGAGACCTCAGGCAAAAGCAGATATGTGTGTCTGTGGGGAAGGAGCTCTTTTTTTTTCTGGTACTAAAGTTCGAATCCAAGATCTTCACACTGAACTATATCCTTCCACTTTTATTTTACTCATGGTTTAAATTTTGAGACACGACCTCCAAGTTGCCCAGGTTGGGCTCGAACTTGTGATCCTCCTGCTTACGTCTCCTAGAGTGCTAGAATTACAGGCATGCCCAGAACCACCTCCACGCCAGGCCCTCAAACACCAGGAGACAGAAAGTGCAAGACGCCATCTATTTATAGTTGGGGGAAATGAGGCACAAAGAGACAACGTGACTCATGTGCCAAGGATTTCTGACTTCAGGGCCTCCTCTTAGCTAATGTGAAAACCAGATTCCACCACTTAAGGAGTGGTGTAGGGAAAGGGAGGGTTTCTGCTTGCACCAAAATGGAATGGAACACAGGGAGGGGGGAGGAGGAACAAGTCTCCTCTGCAGAAAAACACGACAAATGCTCTGATACCTTAATTTTGACACTCCCATGATCTGAAAAGGGCTAAAACAGGCTGCTGTGCTTGTATTATGAAACCAGAGCAGAACAAAAAAATAAGCAAAATTTGAGCCTGCCAGATGATAATCCTTGTGGAGACCATGCAAATCTGAGTGAAAATAGATCAGAGACATTTTCCCAAGAGTCACAGCACTTGGAGATCCCGGAACCAAGATCCTTACATAAAAATGGAGAGGATGTAGGTTGGGGGTTAGGGTGAGGGTTATTGTCGCACTTGGAGAAACAGATGAATACTGTCAACAGAGTAAGGGCTGGTGCTGGAATCAGCTCTCCCCATTCTGAGCTTCTGGTCATTGCACTTCCTCATAATTATCCAGGGCTGAACTATTTACCATACAGACAAGGATAAGAGCAGGGTTCAACCAAAGCAATTTCAGAGCATCTTGTGCTTATTGCCTTCACACACACATGCACACACTCAGACACACATGCACGCACACATGCACACATTCAGACACACATGCACACACACAGACACACACTGCTTTGGGTTTGTGAAGTCTTCCCTTTACTATACAGTGATTATTTTAATTATTTTAATATCTGCATGTCTCTTCTGATTCAGAGGCACAGCTCATGGATTCCACCAGCACCCCTGTCCTTGTCCAACCTTTGGATTTCACAGGGGAGACTGAGACTGGAATCCATGGATGAGGCCGCAGGATTCCTGCTCCCAGCTGTGGGGCAATTTCTCCACTCCAGGAAAGTGAGCTGACATCTGAATACATGGGCTTCTGATCTCAGGTATATATTCTCAAAAGGAAGATATTAGAACTCTAGACCATTTTCAACATTCTGGTTTGGCCGGGACTTGAAATCTTGAAACACTCATTAGTGAATTTCTGAAAAATTTTAACTTCTTTGAAAGTTTACTACAACCATGGTAGTAACAAGCCAAATCACTCATTAAATAAACATTTACTGAATGCCCATTATGTACTGGAATTTTCCTTGGTCCTTTTTATAGTTTTAATCTCTTTTTAATTTTCCTAATAGTAAGGCACAGGTATCATCATTCCCTTATTTTTTTCAAAAAGAGGAAATAAAGCTCAGAGAGACTAAGAAACTTTTATCCAGGTCACAGATTCTAGAAGAAGAGAGTTTGGATTTGATTGTCTGCTGGGTTCCAGTATGCTCTCACAATCTGGGTTTCTCTGGACCCATCTTCTTCTGGGCTGGTGAATAGGGCTGTGAGCTCAGATTACCCCTGAAGTGTAGAAGCCCCTCCAGGAGGCTAGAGTGATGATTTGTGGAATTGGAACTGGACTGTAAACAGGCCCAGAGCAGAGCCAACATTTCTAATTCCCATTAGAAATCTAATCTCTATGAGGGGTTTATAAGACACATCATGCTTGCTTTCAAACGGAAAGGCAAAACGTTAAGGGTCTAGATATAGGATGGACGTAGGTTTCAGAAAAGTTGTAAAATATGGCATAATCTCAAAGGAAGTTTGAGGGCAAAGGTTCCTCCACTTTTTATGTGAATGTGCTCGTCCAGTCGACCTGGAGAACTTCCTACACAGAACAAGAATTTCCTCCAGGGTCCCTGGCAGCATTGTTTCTGTTTTAATGTCTCTAAGAACTGGGAGTTCATTACCTTCCAGTCTATTCTAATTCTTAGAGAGACACAGACTTCATGTTAAGCCAATAGTCGCCTTCTGAATGTGTCTGTGCCTTGGGCGCTGACCCACCCTTTGGTTTACAAAGACTGAATCCACTTCCTCCCTACCCAGCAGCCCCTCGGCTATTTGAAGAGAACTTTCATTTTTTTCTGCCTGTGTTCCCTAAAGTATACTGATCAGGGTAGTAAATTTGCTGATGTTACCAGGTGTCCTTATAAAGCAAACATACCAAAACAAACACACAGAACTCCAGAAATAGCATTTTGTGGACAGGCCAGGTTAAACTAGGTCAGCAGGTATATACTTCCGGTAAGAATTCTCAGAACTTCTCCAGTGTCACTGCAGTGGATGAATTTCAAAGGAGACACAGTGGATGTACAGTTTCCCAGATTTTTGAGCTCA